GGTAAACCCCACCCTCACCTACATCCGAATGACTATGTATAACCAACTTAAGAGTCCTCTGTGGCTCCATCACTCAACTACTTGAGAGCCCTCCGTCCGCAGCTCCCCTCTTCTCCGATATTCTCTGACTCTGACATGTCAGACGGAACCTCATTCTGAGCAGGCAACGAAAAACTACACCCACAAATACCTCAGTCTTACTTCACAAAGAAAAAACAAAAAAACAATTCCAACTTCCGAGCCCTGGCGTTCACTCGATCGATGAATCAGTTAACACCCAACACCACTCACACCTCCTCCTACTGCTTCCTACCTTGCTCTTGCATAGCACTTCGGTTCTTGCAAAAACTACGAGCTGCGTGTGTGACTAGAACATGAAATCGATACCAATGGTCCAAAGTTCTCCAAACTATACCCAATTAATTGACACACGTGCGTGAAAAGAACGACGGCCTTCTCCGACACCAACACCTCCCGCTGCTGCCTACCTTCCTATTCCACAGAACTTCAGTTGTGTCTCCTCCTCTTCCACAGCATTTCAGCTGCTGTCTATATCCTCCTCTTCCACAGTAGAGCAAAATGTGCACGACGTATGTGCGTGATCAGAACACGGAATACATACCAATGATTCAAGTGCCGAATCGATGGATACAACTTTGTGAAAAGAATTGCCTTCCCCTCCCCGCTCTCCTCCTCTCTCCTCCTCCTCCTCCTCGTCGTCGTCGTCGTCATTATCCTCTTCCTGCCAAACCTCCACTATCTGCTGACCACACCAGATCCCTCCAAAAGCATAGTGAGCGCACGCATTAATAGCCATGTGACCTTAAGGATGTACCCCCAGATCTTCTTAATTGCTTATCTCTATTATCCATCATTAGAAGATCACCTCCTCCTCCTCCTCCTCCTCCTCCTCCTCCTCGAAGATCTGAACAGCAATGAAGAAACCACCACTTTGAATAGCCACACAGCATTCACCTCCTCCTCCTCCTCCTCCTCTAAGATCCGAACAGCAATGAAGAAACCACCAGAATACCCACACAGCATTCACCTCCTCCTCCTCCTCCTCCTCCTCCTCCTCCTCGAAGATCTGAACAGCAATGAAGACACCACCACTTCGAATACCCACACAGCAATCACCTTCTCCTCCTCCTCCTCCTTCTCCTCCTCCTCAGAGGTACCTGCCTGATCACCTCTCCACAGTTCTCCATTCTTCCAACTGGTCTGTTGAGAAAGCTGGAGGCGACGCCAGCCTCGACCTCATGGAAGCAGCAGCAGACACAGCGTTCGGCGACGGGAGAGGCGATTGCGGCGGACACGAGTGGGGCAATGCCATAGTGGTAGGAACCACCACCTGCAGCTGTGACGAGGAAGAGGGAGGAGGCGGCAGGTCGACACTCCCGTACGTCGTAAGAGTCGCGTTCAGACGCTTGATTGGGGCCGCAGGATATGCACTTGGAGTGGATGCAAGCATGCCGGGCAACAACAACCCGGGCTTTTGCAACAAAGGCTGCAGAGCTTGCTGCTCCTCATCCATGAACGGAACCTGCCAAAAACCATCATCATCATCATCATCCTCATCCTCCTCCTCCTCCTCCTCCTCCTCCTCCTCCTCATCATCATCAAATGATTACCACGTGACAGCATCACGTGGGTCTCGTCATCCACACTCCACACCCATGCATGATAACCATCAAAGGCGAATTAAAACCATCGTTACAATGATTTTTCTTTCTCTTAAAAAAAAAAAAAAAAAAACTCATTGGTACACAGAAGTGCAACAAAGGCCGACAGGCACTGGCAGCCTCAAGCAAGGGGGGAAAAAAAGAAAAAAAAAAAAAAAAAGAAAAAAGAAAAAGGAAAAAAGAAAAAAGAAAAAAGAAAAAAGAAAAAAGGAAAAGCGGCAGATGAAGCCTCTGCTAAGACGTCGGTTCAGAAGAAGACAAGGAAATGTTATCGCAAAGAAAGAAGAAAAAAAAAAAAAGAAGAAAAAAAAAAAAAGAAGCAGCCAACGCACCTACCTTCTTCCCCCGAATACAACGTACTGTCATTATAGCTGTATTTAGACTGACAGATAGCCCAAATACAGCTATCATGACCGTACGTTGTATTCGGGGGAACGGAGAAGGTAGCTGAGTTGGTACACCCATGATCTGTTGAAAAATACAGATCTGAGTTCGAACCCTGATGGGTGTACCAACTCAGCTAGGCTCTCGCCTACCGCTTCTTTTTTTCCTTTTTTTCCCCCTTTTTTTTTCCTTTTTTTTTTCCTTTTTTTTTCCTTTTTTTTTCCTTTTTTTTTCCCTTTTTTTTTTCCTTTTTTTTTTCCTTTCTTTTTTCCTTTTTTTTTTCCTTTGAGCATTGATGGGTGTCTACCAACGGAGTTCAACAGGATTCGAAAAATACAGAACCCCAGAGTTGGAATCCTGATGAACCTTGATGACTGGAATGAAATCATTCTGGATTACCTAGGGCCTGTCAAATCAGATCAGGCTGCCAAAACAATCTGAGCTTTCAAAAAAAAGAAGAAGAAGAAGAAGAAGAAGAACACTGCATGTCTTGAAACCCACAAGCAAGAAAGGAACACCCCTAAAAAATAAGGGGAACCCCCCCTTCCCCCCCCCCAAAAAAAAAAAACGAAGACCTTCTTGGCCGAAGGTATAGAGAGGAGACACGGAATGATAAGGTCGACCGACAGAAGCAGAGTGATAACAATGTGGGTAAGGAGGACAAGAGAGAGAGAGAGAGAGAGAGAGAGAGAGAGAGACGGAGGGAGGGAGGGGAGTAACAGAGAGAATCAGCAAGAGAAGCAGAAAGATAGATATGATGATAGAGAGGATGGGGCGCGGGGAGAGAGAAGAGGGAGAAGAGGAAGCACGGAAATAGAGAAGTAGGAGAGAGGGAGGGGAAAAACAAATAACGGGCGAAAGAGAGAAACACAGAGAGAGAGAGAGAGCTGTCTCTTATACACATCTAGATGTGTATAAGAGACAGGTGTGTGTGTGTGTGTTTGTGTGTGTGTGTGTGT